GTCAAAATAGCATGTGACTATTGGAGCACAATTGTTATAATTTGGCAAAATAATACTATTCATTATCAAATCATAGCAATAGTAATTCCATTTTAGCAAACACCATTGGAGATGCTGTAAGGTAGCACTTGGTTTGATTTTCAAATCATGATTTGTATAAAAGAAATTTAAAATTCATAATGAAACAAAATTTTCAAAATTCAATTCAAAAACTTTTTTTAAAGCTCATAACCAAATTCTTTCATAAAAAAAATAATTAGGTTTTTAAAATTTTTTTCTTTAAAATTATTTTTTATTTTTTATTTTCTTGAAAAAATATTTTTTTTATTTTTGAAGAAAAATATTTTTTTTTATTTTTTAAAATTTTTTTGGGTTATTTTTTTAAGTATTGGACAAGAATTTGTTATGATTTAGATATATATAGACGATCCAAAATTTTTTAAAATTTTAAAAAATTAAATATTTAAAAAGTAAAAAATTAAAAATATTATAAAATAAAATAAAGTATTTAAAATAAAAAAATAAAAAATATTTAAAATAAAAAATAATTTTTTTCAAAAATTTTAAATATTTACAAAATATATTTAAAATATTTTTTAAAAAATTTATCCTAAAAAAATTTAAAAAAATAAAAATTTAAAATATTAAAAAAAATAAGCTCAAAATAATTCCAAAATACAACTCAAAATTTTAAAAAAACTTTAGACTCACAACCAAATAAATTATCTTTTGAAAACTCATTTAAAAAACTTATCTTTCAAAATAAAATTCAAAACTCAAATCTCAAATAAAAAACTTTGTTTGGGAAGTGGGTTGGTTTTTTTGACTATTTTAACTTGGGACTAAAAAACTTGATTTGGAAAAAGCTTTTGACTTTTTTCGTTTTTTTGTGAGAGAAAGAATGTAATCGTTATGGATGGGATGTGATATTTTGTCTTGTTAAACTAAAAAATTATTTTATTTTTTGTGACTATTTTAATCCAAAAAAAATCTTTAAATCTAACTTCCCAAACAAAACCTAAATAAATGATGACCCATTAAAATTTGAGTAAAGTCATTCAACAAAATTTAACAAATTATTATTTTTCACTATTCATGACATGTAAACGATGTCATCAATGAATTAACTACATTTGTATCTTTCCCATTTTGCTGAGTCTGAAATTTTCACGCATAAAAGTTCGAATTTGCCACTGGGATTGAAATTCCGGTACATATATTATAACCCATTAATTTCTTCATGTTTGGTCACCGACTTTGCGGCTTTAATTACCGTTTTTTCGTATCAGACTTTTAAATTTTTTATTTTTTTTTTGAAGTTTGAAAGAAAAATGACTGCAGAGAAATGCCAACCCATGTGCTTAGATGTGTTTGACAATCTCTTCGTATTTATTATACTACTTGATTGATAAACATGACGTTATTAATCTAAAACAAAAACAAGTTGAGACATTATTGTATTGTGTGGAGGAAAAAGTTATAAATTTTAAATTTTTTATTAAATAAATAACTAAATATTTAATATTATTAAATATTTAATATTTACTTGATAAAAATTTAATATTCATAACATTTTATGTTGGTGTGAACCGTATTGATTTAGAACTCTAAATAGGAAGTTCTAGATCCACCACTAATGAGGTGAAAATTAAAAAAAAAAAAAAACCAAGGCACAATACACATGCAGCAGTGAGTAAGATTACTGTCCCATCATTAGAGACACCACTAACTAATTAGTGGTATAAAGTATTTTTGCTGGTGTGAAACCTTCCAATTGAGAATCTGTGTTACAAACTTGATAAGACTGACTTGACTTTACTGCGTATGACCACGTGGGGAAAAAATTGGAATAAATAACACAAAACAAAAATGCTCGGCATATTATGATTAATTTGAATATTGTATAAAATATAGGGAGTGTGGCCTTTAATAAACGGTTTAACCTATAAGATGGTGTCTGTTTTTAAAATTTGGTAAAATTTGATAAAATTTTTGGTAGAATTTTTGGGAAAGTAACACCCATGTGAGACATTTGGTAAAATTTTTGGTAGAATTTTTGGGACTTCTAGCATTTTTGGAAGAAAAAATTGGAAAGTTGACCTGGAAAGATGAATAATTTTGGTATTAGTTTTTTTTTTATTAATATTTCATTAATTATTTTATATTTCTTATTTCTTTGGATTCTTACTTATAAATTGTAAAATTTTTAAAATTTCTTTTTGAGAGGGTAATTTGTAAACAAATTGGGCCGAGCTAACAAGAGTCTTCTTTGGGAACTGGGCCGCGTAATGGGCCGAGATAAGGGCCGGAGTATGGACGACGGGTAACTCGGTCCCTTTTTATCTAAGTACTAAACTGGGCAAGGACGTTGACCGAGCTACTTAAATACAAGGCCCAAGAGTTGGCCGAGGTGTTTGGTAAGACAGATGATCGAGCTAGGTATAGCTCGATCGATGCTTCTATTCCATTACTTAGTTGAGCACAGAGCCGAGGTAATGATGACAACCAAAGTAAAGAAAGTTCTGTAGCAAACCGAGGTAACATTAATGGCGAGGGCCGAGCTGTGTATGGCTCGGCAGGGTGGCATTCGATAGATCGGCTTTCGATCACATGGTCCGAATGGCAGGGGACCGAGATAAGGCAGTTCGGTAAGAAATGTATAACCGAGGTAAAGGGTGCAGCCATCTCACTTGGCTTACAGTGATGAGACTCCTAGTAGGACACTGCTAAGGAGAGTTAGAGTCCTACTGGGATTGTGCAAACCATCTCACTTGGTTGGTAGTGAGTAGAAGTATGACTCCTAGGAGGACTCTGCTAAGGAGAGTAGAGTCCTACTAGGATTGTGTAGGGTGTGTGATTCCTAGGAGGACTCTCATAGGGAGAGTGCCAAAAGTCTATAAATGCTCATGACCAGACCCATGGACAGGTATCCCAATTCTTACTCTAGAATACACAGCGCTTATTGTCTATTGTCTAGTTGCTGACTTAGTCATCGGAGGGGTTTTCGGCACACACCCGCCGGTTAGCTCACGTTTGTGTTTTCAAGTGGCAAAGCAACGTTATTTGGAGGAGTACAAACTTGATCAACAGGATCATACGAGAAGAATTATTTCGTGCTCGTACACTTTCCTTTTCTCAATCAATATCAAAATTATCCTTATAAAAATATTCTATCCATTCAAATGTGCCCCCATACCCCAAAAAGCCTCTTTCCCAAAATCGTAACAAAACCCATAGACGGTGGAACCTCTCAAACTAGTGGAAAAAATTTGTGGTAATTAAGAAGTTTTTTCTTAGCTTCATTATGAGGTTTGTCAATCTGTTTTAATTTTTTTTTTTCTATTACCTCTTTTCACACACACAACACAATCCACTTTCATACTTCTTTGGTTGATTTTTTGTTATTCATCCATGGCTTCACTGTACTAATATGTTTTCTATGTGAGCAAAACCGGACAGGATTTCTCCCACTAATCGACCCCCAACCCAAGGGTGTTCCGACCGCCTTTGTTTGTCTTCTTTTGCTACTGCTTCGATTATTTGTTCCGGAACAAATAAGAAATATTCGGTAACCTGTTTCTAAATAAATAAACAATGTTCAGACTTGTGTTCTCGAAATTAGGTCATACGTTTAAGAGTTCAGTCCCAAAAAAATGACGAACTGTTTTTATTATTTTTGCTATTTTTTGCAAGAAACTTACTCTTACAAGGCCAATCTCCTATGAACTAAGAACACCGTCAAAGTTATGAATCTCTTCTGAGCTTTTATTATTGTAATTCTCTCGTCTCATTGAGTTGTGATTGCCAGAAAAACTTCTACTCATTGTCATTGTCGGAGAAACGTATATAATCAAATAGTTGTTACCGTTGCCACCGAAATATTACCGTCAAAGGGTTTTTAAGGTTTTTAAGGTGGGTAAGTTTTGAAAGTGAGATTTGGAAAAGATGGATGAGTGGTGAAGGAGGTGGATATTCTCATAAACCCTAACCGATGATGTAGTAGGTGTGTGGCTTAATTGTGAGATGGAGTGTTCTAAAATTATTGATGTCGCTTTTAGTAATTTCATTTGAGATTATTATTGTAATAAATAAAACTAAAAAAATAAGGGGTCTAAAATAGTTGATAGAATGCTAATAATAACACTCATAATATAATATATATGTATATATATATATATATTTTGACAAATAATAAAATGTTAGTGGGAGAATAAATTAGATTACAACGGAATAATTGCACTAGTTTTATCAAATCATAAATGACTTTCTCAGTATTCCAAAAAATAGTTACATACACTAGTTAGTAAGTTAGTGTGTATATGTTGTATACACTATAATACAGTTGTATTTGTTGAAAAATTTGAATTTAAATTTACTCCAATGGTTGTGTCTCTTGAGATGAAAGGGTGTGTCATTTTGAAGGATCACAACCTTTCTGAAGAGTCACATATAAGTCTTTATATTTCATCTCCCTCACTTCATTTTGGATGGTGAATTACCATTCTTCTTCACTTTGCATTTATTCTTCATATTTCCTGAGTCTAATTTTCCTATAAAGAGAGTTCATGCACAGCAAAGTTCGCTAGGCTTACAATAGTAGTGCTGCTAGTGCAAGACATTGATCGTTGTATCATGGGAGATAGACGTCCATTGAATCCTAAGCACCGGTAGGAGGACGAATCTGTCTTAAGGAGAGAGTGTCACACACTCGACTCGATCAGGTTTTATCTATTTTTAGTTTTATCACGTTATTATATCGATTTATTTCAGTTTTGGTTTTACCCAAAATTGTTTGCATATTTTAAAATTATATTTTCCCGATAATTTGGTACTATTTTTCTAACAGTATTAATATTTATAATTTTTATTTAATTATAAAGATGTTACTGTCATTTCTTTTTGATAAATTTTTTATATATAAATATATGCAAAATTTGAATTAAAATGTGTGAAAATACATAAAAATATTCTGAAGTTCCATACATGAGTAAAACTAATATTTAATTTAAAATTTTAAAAAAAAAAATTTCTATTATTGACCAATGTAGAAACTTGATCAAGTGTGACACTATACCATGGTTTCCTCTGAGCATAACTAAAGAGATGATGTAATGATCAGAAAGAAAATAACGGACAAAAGCTCCAACCGCCACCAACGGTCGGAACCATGGCGAAATTGCACCAACCTCCGATCACTGAAACAAATCCACGCTTTAATGATCATCAATGGCTTCAATTCCAACCCCTCTGCTCTCAGAGAACTCATTTACTCTTCTACCATCGCAATCTCATCCGCCATAGACTATGCCCACCAAATGTTCGCTCATATTACCCAACCAGACCTCTTCATGTGGAACACCATGATCAGAGGCTCTGCCCAGAGCCCCAACCCATCAATGGCCCTTTCAATCTATTCCCAGATGGAAAAACGGCACGTTCGTCCCGATAACTATACGTTTCCCTTCCTTCTCAAGGCCTGTACTAAGCTTTCTTGGGTTAATTCTGGCTCTGCGATTCATGGCAAGGTTGTGAAATTTGGGTTTGAACGTAATACTTTTGCGAGAAATACCCTTATTTATTTTCATGCTAATTGTGGGGAGATAAGGATTGCGAGTGAGCTCTTTCATAGTTCAGCGAAGACCGATGTTGTTGCTTGGTCGGCTTTGACTGCAGGCTATGCAAGGAGGGGCAAGTTGGGTGTTGCAAGGAAGCTGTTCGATGAAATGCCTGTTAAAGATTTGGTTTCTTGGAATGTGATGATTACAGCGTATGCCAAGAGAGGGCAGATGGAGAGTGCCAGAGAACTTTTTGATGTGGTGCCTAAGCGGGATGTGGTAACTTGGAATGTGATGATTGCTGGTTATGTGCTTGGTGGGGCACATCTCCCGGCAATTGAGATGTTTGAGGAGATGAGACATGTGGGAGAACGGCCAGATGAGGTCACAATGTTGAGCCTTTTGTCTGCTTGTGCTGATTCTGGAGCTCTAGATGTTGGCGAGAAGATGCATTGCTCCATTTTGGAGGAGATGTATTCAGGGGACTTGAGCATTGTACTTGGTAATGCACTTATAGACATGTATGCAAAGTGTGGGAGCATTGAGAAAGCACTTGAAGTGTTCCAAGGGATGAAGGAGAAGGATGTGTCCACGTGGAACTCTATTATAGGAGGGCTAGCTTTCCATGGCCATTCTGAGGAATCCATTTGTGTTTTTAAGGAGATGAGAACAATGAAAATCAGGCCGAATGAGATTACTTTTGTTGGAGTCTTGGTTGCTTGTAGTCATGCTGGGAAAGTAAAGCAGGGCCGTCAATATTTCAATATCATGAGAGATGAATACAATATTGAGCCGAACATAAAGCATTATGGATGCATGGTGGACATGTTGGGGCGTGCTGGGCAATTGAAGGAAGCATTTGAGTTTATAGACACAATGGAGATCAAACCCAATGCGATTGTCTGGAGGACTCTACTGGGGGCTTGCAGGGTTCATGGAAATGTCGAGTTGGGAAGGCGTGCAAATGAACGGTTACTCAAAATGAGACAGGACCAGAGTGGGGATTATGTACTCCTATCTAACATATATGCCTCACAAGGTGCATGGGATGGAGTTGAAAAGGTGAGGAAATTAATGGATGATAGTGGAGTGAGGAAAGAACCTGGGTGTAGTCTAATTGAAGCAGACAACAAAGCTCTCTTGCATTTCTTGCTAGATTTAAAACCTGAATCAAATACAAGGAAAAGCAAAAGCGCTCATTGAGCTGCCATTGAGTGTGTGTTCTTCTTATGATATGCTTGTGTTGTATCAATACAAGTAAGCATTATACATATGAAAGCCATTTGCACTTTTTCTTTTTTCTTTTTTCTTTTCTTTTTTTCATATAAGGAATGGGTTCTCTTCATGAGATTTTTTGTTCATGTCATTGTCCACTAATCAGATTTCCTTGCACAAATAAATTGTAATCTTTTCTTCACAGACATTGAATTTCACTTATTAAAGTTGCGTTTTGGATATGTGGATTTAGATTTGAGAATGGATATGAAAACCACAAATTCCAATTACCTAGGTATTTGAGATTTATGTATTTCTTTGTTCTTTGTTCTTTCTTCTTTTCTTTTTTTTTTGATTCAAAAGCACTCATGAAGGGGTTGAAATTTGGTAAAACTACCTTATTCAAAGCTTCAAAGATGAAAAACAAGTAGTGAAGGAAATGATAAATTTGATACACATGAAAAAGAAAGGGTGAGGGCTTGGTGGATTGGAGGGTGCTGTTGGCTCTCGTGGGACTCGTCATATTCAATAATCTGAATCATTCATTTTTATATGTAGATCATCCACACAATAAATCATATTGATTTGATAATCATAACTATATTATTTTATTTTATTTAAAAAATAAACAATAATTGTAATTTTGAAAATGGACCATTTATTTTTTTAAAGAATTCCTATAAATGAGAAATATCATTTTGTATAAATATTTTGTAATTATATATATTGTAACATGACCCGTATATGTTTATAATTTAGATCATAAAAAAATATATAAAATAAAATAAATAAATAAATTAGATCATAATTTGTGACTAGGACAGTAGAATGTTATTAATTGTACCAACATATATTTATATAATTGGGTGATCCCAGAGTATCATTTGGTATTATTCACATGATACTCTCGAATAATGCCATGGCGGAAGACCTTATGAATTAAACAATGTTCACCAATCTTGTTTTAGTTTAGAAATAAAAAATGACTCACTTACCCTTAGCGGATTTATATGTTGGGTGCTCTCTCGCACTACTCATTTATCAACGTTGACCTGCTAGTGTGGGTAATGAATGGTATGAAAATTTAAAAAGAAATTGATCTATGCGTAATTTTACTCAATCATGATCATAATAACACTACAATAAAATACACCTTTGGTGATTAAAATTGGCAACTAAAACAAATTTAGTCATCAAAAGTTTTGGAATTGGCGACTAAAACTTTTTTTTGGTCGCCAAAAGTATAATATTTAGTTACTAAATTTTTTTAGTCGGGATATATTGATTATTGGCGACTAAAAAATAATTTAGTCGATCTATGCGTAATTTTACTCAATCATGATCATAATAACACTACAATAAAATACACCTTTGGCGATTAAAATTGGCAACTAAAATAAATTTAGTCATCAAAAGTTTTGAAATTGGCGACTAAAACTTTTTTTTGGTCGCCAAAAGTATAATATTTAGTTACTAAATTTTTTTAGTCGGGATATATTGATTATTGGCGACTAAAAAATAATTTAGTCACTAAAAATACTAGAATTGGTGACAAAAAAATTTTAGTCACCGTATATTGAGTTTTGGCTACTAAAATATTTAGTCGCCGAATGTAAAATTAAAAATTTATTTTTTATCTTTGGCAACCAAAAGTTTAGTCGCCAAAACATATTTTTAGCGACTAAAAATTAGTTTAGTCGTCGTATATTAGGTATTGGCTACTAAAATATTTAGTCGCCAAATGTAAAATTAAAAAAAAAAAAAAAACTATCTTTGGCGACCAAAAGTTTAGTCGCCAAAACATATATTTAGCGACCAAAAATTAGTTTAGTCGCCAAAAAATAAAAAATTAGAGGGAGACATTTCTAATTTAAATTTGAGGGATTTATAAAAGTAATTGGCGACTAAAAAATTTAGTCGCTAATGGTGTAACATATATATATATTTGGTTTCTAAAATTTTACTAGCGCCTCTGTCTGTCTCTCTCTTCAGCGTCTCTCTATCTTTCCGGTGCTCCTCTCCCTTCCCTCGCTGTCGCTGGGAACCAGAGCATCGATTCCTACTCCTTTTGGTCACCGTCACCTGAGATCCATGATGAGTTCATGAACACCAATTCGGAGCCAAGATCCAGAACAACTCCAAGCCAAGATCGAAGAGCTCAACTCCAAAGTCTCCTTCCTCAGATTTTGGACTCCCTTCGTTGATTACCACAATCGCTCTACTTCTTACTTCTCCGACATCGTTTTAGTCACTTCCGATGACAATTCCGGTAAACCCGCGTCTAACCCTATTCCCATCTCTGCCCATAAGGCTGTTCTAGTGAGTACCCATTTCGATTTTTAACTTTCTCTGTGTGTTTTTGTTGTGTATTGAATGTGTTTGATATGTGGATTGTATGGACCAACTCTGAAATGGGTAGTGATGATAAACTCTGAATTTGGATCATTGGTTTAGATGATTGTTTGTTTGATATGTGGATTGTTAAATTTTTTGCCCACCAAGTGTTTGATTCTATGCTCAAGTGACAAATTTATCAGAAACAATTGGAACATGGTCACCAAGTGTTTGAATCTGTTTGAATCTGCTTTTCACAATTGAACATGGTCACCAAATTTATCAGAAACAATTTCACAATCTGTTCTCTTTACCATATTAACTAACAAAACCCTCCACCATGCATATCAGAGCTATTATTACATTGTGCAATTTTATCAAGTGCAAGTTTAAACTCATGACCCTTTGGACAAACCAGGGTCAGGTGTTGACATGTGTCAAGAAAACAAAAAAGTTAGGCATCTTATACAATAGCAATCAATCTGGTCACCAAATTTATCAGAAACAATTTCACAATCTGTTCTCTTTACCTTATTAACTCACAAAACCCTCCACCATGCATATCAGAGCTATTATTACATTGTGCAATTTTATCAAGTGCAAGTTTAAACTCATGACCCTTTGGACAAACCAGGGTCAGGTGTTGACATGTGTCAAGAAAACAAAAAAGTTAGGCATCTTATACAATAGCAATCAATCACTCTATTTAAAATTTGGAAACATACATCCAAAAATAGGCCTTTAAACTATATATAATTTTAGTTTGAGAACAGGGACAATACATAGAATGAAAATTCAGACTATGTAATGAATGTGTTCTTTGACAAAATATTATAATGAATCCATTAAACCAACTAGAAGTAGAGTAGTATAATTGCTTTTAAGTTTTATACTACTATTCTAAATATTAGAGGCCATTAAATGAAATTTATTTGTTTGTAGTAAAACTTAATAGTCTTAAACACCTATCAAATCCTTGGGAATTTTGTTGATAAATTACTGTAGCAGCAACAAATTGCACTAACATACCAAACTTTAGATTGTAACCAACCCAACAATGAAAGTTCACAGCAAGAGACAAAAAAGATAAACATAGAAACTAGATATGGAGGATACACAATGCACGAGCCATGTTCAGGTTTCTGTGGTAGATGATTATTCATTATCAAATGCACTTAATTGGAAAACCACTCAACATGTGTGAACACGGATTATTCTATTTTCATTTTATAGCATCTGGAGAAAATGTAACTTGTAATATTGCATGGTTACAAATGCCAATACAAAACAAGGAATGCTAGGATCATATAAATGTTAGTGATAAATGAGGGAAAATATGTCACTTCATCTTCTCATTATGTGAATATTGTGTTAATGCTTACAAATTTTCTCAGTGCATGTCGAATATCTAATTCTAGTGTCTGTCTGGATTAATTGGGGGTGAATTGAGATGATTCCCTGTTTACAAGTATCTCATACTTTTTGGGTATTTTAAAAACAGATAGTTTAAATAGAAAATATATCCAAAATGATGTTTTAATGATATTTATAAAAATTATGGGGATAATTGTGAAAAATGTGTTGAAATCGATAACAAGTGTTTCATGTTCTTGTTGTTTTTTCCCCCTCGTGTCCTGGTTGATTTTCTTCTTTCTTCTCTTCCAAAACATGATGTGACGGTCTAAAACAACTGGTTAACTAAATGTCATGATTATATTAATGAAAAAGTTCAGTCCAAGTATTGACAAAGAAAATGCTCTTTATCATTGATTACCTATTAGCTGGATTCTTTATTTTTGCTCTATTTTTGGTTTGTAATAATATTCTCTTTCCCGTTGTGAATAGCATATGATTAACTGGACAAAAGTAATAATGCTATTAGTAATTACTTTTAAAATTCATCTACCATAGCGATCATTGGTTACAATCACTTGAATTTGGGAGGTTAATAAACTCTTTTTGTAGCCCCACATGCAAAGATCATTTTTTTTTAATCTCATCAGTACTTTACATTAAATTGATCACAATACAAAAAATTACTGAATAGTTGTCTTTGTGAGCCATTAGCTTAATTTGTATATATTATTTGTAGTCATTATTTTCAAATATTGAGTGTCATGGTAATTTGTAGATTTCAAATGGGAGATTGGTTAGGACTTGGTGTGCACATCAAAAATCAGTGACTTGCTTGACATTTTCCAGCAATGATTCATTTCTTATTTCTGGTTCAGAAGATGGCATGATCATTAGTTGGCCTATGATCGGGTAAAAAAAGTGAATCTTCATTTCTTCAACAATTTAATGCTTGTATTTGAATATCGTATAGTTTTATTTTTCAAGAAAAATAAATAACTGACTTTATAATCACATTGTTTGGTGGAAGTTTGGTAAACGAGACAGATTGTTGGACTGTGGCTTTAAAACTAAATTTTTTGTTGGAGCTTTCATCCTCTATAATAGGCCTATTAACTGCATCAAGTGGCTCAATTTCAATTTTTTTATGAAGCTCCCTCGATGGCACATGCAAGGTTACTTAATTATGTTAAATGTTTCATAATAATATCTTCCTAGCATGAGTATTTTTGTTTCTCGAAATGACTTATTTTCGTATTGTAGGTGTACGGGGAAGAAATAATTCTCCTCGTATAATCCTGTTGACTAAGTTTACGCTTCTCCGTACGACGTCGCTTTGTCACCTGAAAACACAAACGTGAGCTAGCCGGCGGGTGTGTGCCGGAAACCTCTCCGATGCCTAAGTCAGCAAACTTGACAAATAGACAAAGCTCAATGTATTCAGGAAGCAAAATTGTATGTTGTGTTATGTTACCTCCTCCAAGGTAATGCTTGTGAGCTTTTATAGGTTTCGAG